TCCCGGCCCCGAGAGGGCAGGCGGGGCCTGAGCCCGCGAGAAGGTGGGTTTCGAGGGAGGAAAAAAGCGGGGAGGGAAGAAGCTTTACAAGCTGTGTACGTTTCAGGCTCCCAAGACTTAGGCCACCTCCTTAGACTTACTGTGTTACGTGTTCAGATTTGTGTTTTGCCGCCAGCTTACTGTGCTTAATTCACTAGCAAAGCGTGGAAACACCAGGGTGTTGTGCAGCAAGCAGGTGTTGTGTCTGTCATTGCTTGCAGCCGATAAGCAATTCTGCTGGTTACTTAGAGTGCATCTTTGATCTATGCCTTTTAACTCGAGCCAGTTCATAGCCTTTCATCTCACTTTCCCTGGACTGGATGTAGTTTCAGTGCCTAGCATGTTCTTTTTATGCTTAGTGGAGCTGGTAACAAGGCCTTGTCATTTGCTGTCACCGGCTTTGTTATCTGTATAGTGGTTCACTAGAAAGATACGTAAGGGTCTTTTGCAGGGCTTTTGCAGGGTCTTTGCACACTGCAGAAGGATGCAGTGTGATCAGTGTGGCACCAAGGCTTACAACTGTGATACATCCACTTTGTTGTATTTCTGTATATATGCATGCATGCACGCACATAGTTAACGTGTAAGAAATAGATAACACGGAGGAACATTACATTGGAAAAAGTGGAAGCTAAGGTAATGTCTTGATCACTTGGCTCTATCTGTTTTCATAGAGGTCATAACTGGAGCCTTAGTTAATCTGGAGAGGAGCAGAGTGTTAAAAAGGTTAGGGACAGATTGGCCTGGGGTAGGGACTGTGGATATTAGTTATGGCCTTGACCCTGATCTTCCTCTCTGTGGTGCCTTGTAACTCTCATAGCAGCATCGTTAGCTCTTATAAGCGTAACTGAAGCAATGGAATAAATTGACATATGAATAGTTATTTCAAAAGTGAAATATGAGAGAATCTCATTCTGTAAAGTAGACTTTGGTGGGTTTTTTTTGCTTTTTATCCTTCCTGTACCTAACAACAACCAAAAAAGCCACTTATGTTGATTGCCTATAGGAGCAGCAAGGGAATTGCAAGAGTATGAAGAGGAAACCGTGCTGTGATTTGCAGCAGAAAGTGTGTAATGTAGTTCTTTTAAATTCTTAAAAAAAAGAACTTGATCTTGGCAAAACCTAGTATTCTTCTTGGTAGGCTATAAATCAAAATTTAAAAAGTATGTATTAAATCATTATTCTCCATCAGTACTTACACTGGCTGCAAAGTTGCAAAACTTGTCTTGGTTCTGCAGGCAGCGGAGTAAGAAGACAATAATATAAGCGTATAATAAATGTTATTTGGACAGAAGTTATCTGGATTTTACCTTATTAGCAACTCCCTTCTCAACAGAAAACCTTAAGTGAAGAAGCCAAGGCATCCTGCTTAGAAAGGCAGAAGTACTGTTGAAAATCCATTTCAGTCCTGAGACTGAGGTAGACATTCACTTAGGTAATACAACTACATTAAGAATAAACCCTTTATTTAAAAGAAATTTGTTGCTGATATCATGTTTAAATCATAAATGGACCTAATTCCTAAGCATGCTTATATAACCACTTATTATAATTGGTTAAATGTCACCAAAATCTTCATCCTAGTTGAACCTTTGCTTGTTGTTTATAGTTTGTTTCTTACTTTGTCAGTTGAAGAAGTGATATGTAACCTCCCAGCATTTAAAAAAATCATGCGCGTTTGTTTATGCCTTGCAGAACTTAAAATGAGTGAGGGTGCAGTCTGATATGCGTTTAAGTTGGCACTCCTTTGGGATGTTGTTGGGAGGTGGAAGAATCTCACTCTATTCTCTACTATTTCTTCCTGTTCTACTCTGGTACGTGTATTTGTTTGGCTTTGAGGTGAGCTGAGTAGAGAACTGATCTAGTTAAAAAAATAAACAATTAAAGTTATCCAGTGGAGTAGGAATGATGAGAACAGGATGGATTCTGCTTTTTGGTCAGGGTTATTGGCTTTAATTCGTATCAGAATATAGGTCAATCACTTTCTTCCAAGTAGAACAACTCTGAGCTGTTTTCTGTGAGAGTATTAAGAAATCTACCTTCTTTACGATCTTGTCAATGAGGGATGAATTGGCTATTGACTCAGAAGAGTAATGTGAAAGAGTAGAATTGCTGAGACATTCTGTAAACTTAGTATCTCTTTGGGTCAGAGCTCCTTTCAAGTCCTCAAAAGCTCTATCAAGAAAGATGGTGAAAGAAAGACGAAAATCTCTTTGCTGCAAGAGATGGGCAAGATTCCTTCAAAATCCTTTTTGAAAACAACCCTTGCCAAACTTTCTAGTCCTGTGTCAGTCATGGATGCTATATTCAGTTCTTAGAATTGCAAAGTACTTGTTCAGTGCTCTTCTGGATGCCTGTATTCTGGGCTTGATACTGCTGGCTGGTCTCTTTAAAGAGGACTGACTTGTAACATATGTTCTTGGTTGTTACTAGGGAAACTTCCATCAGAGCAGGTGAGAAGATGTAATTTTCTTTGTTTTCGACAGGCTCATCTATCATTTATTTTGAACTATGTTCTTGTAGTTCTTCCCGGAAGGAAAGTAACTTCTTGTTTCTTGTAGCTTTTAAAGTAAATATTTAAACCTCAAACCTGAATTTCATCCATACAGTCTTAGGACAGTCTTGGAACATAGTGGATAAAAATGAAAGTTACAGTTTTGATTTTTTTTTTTCCATTGTATTCTACTCCCTCATGAGTATTTGCAGGACGGCTCGTAGGACGGCTCTAGGCATTTAGTTCCTTTTGCAGGATGGTTAAGACCAGCAGCTTGGTTACGTTTGCAGCAGCATTTAGTTAGAAGGAGGAGCTATGTGACCGAGATCTTGTAGGACACAGCAGCAGTTTGTCCCTGGGACTCAGAGTGGTTCTTTACACGATCAAATGTTTTAGTGCTGCTTCAGTGACTACTTGACTGCCTTGGAACAAGGAAAGAAAGATTTATATACGTATTAATTGTGGATTAGAGAAAAGAAAGCTGGTGGATACATCGGATGACTGTGCTTCATGTCTTCCACATGGCTCCTGAGAAAAAATCTGGCAGACTTTATGGGTTAAGTCTTCCAAATTCTTGTTTCTGCTTTAGCAGTGATGTAAAGGCTGGGTTTTTTAGGCTACTTTGGTTATGGCAGTAAAACATGTTTTTTTTTCTTTTTTTTTCTCCTATGAAATTGAATTTGTGATGATGGCTTATAATCTGAAGGTCAAAGTACAAAATTGAAATTGGTGTTTAGAAAAGATGCTTTTGGGCAGTGGAAATGAGTAATTGCAGTTGATGGCAAAGAAGGTCCTGGAACATTGAGTAGTCATTTAGCATATTCTAAAACTGTGGCTGCTTCAGTGAAAAAATAATCAGTAATGCAGCATTCATACTGTCCTGAAGATTAGCAAGTTGATATAAAGAATAGCCCATTCTCTGATACCTGCAATAACAAATTCAGAACTGTAGGGATACAAAAGTCTATATGTATTTCTGTAATTGAACCTTAAATATAAATAATATATTTGTTATGTAAATGCCATGTTTGTCATAACTTTCATCTGAACATCTTAGCTTTTGAATGTTCATATGCATGTAGAAGGTTTTCATCCTTAAATCTAGGACCTGGTGATTTGTTCATGTTCCTATTTTTGGTATAGAAGCAGTCATCAGGGATTCCATGTTTTAAACTTAAATATACAATTTTACTTTTTTCTACAAAAGCCACCTTTGATCTCCTGGCTTCCAATTCTTGTGTTTTAGAGTTGGTCAGTATGATCCTGCACAGCTATCTTGAAAGTATTCATACAGTTTACAGGAAAGTAAGTCTATATAAAAAAATTTGGGGGGAGGAGGGGGTAATACAAA